TGATATTTTTTATTAGATCTATTTGAAAAAAACCTAGGCAGTTCAATGTGTTAAATGTAAACTTGATCCGTGTACAGTTATAAACAGTCGATTCAGTACGTTACGGATCAGTGTCACATGTACCTGTGGACAGGAAGACCCCCCCCCCCCCCCCGATATTCAACCCCAGGGCTTATTGGACATTTTTTTTCACAAATTAAATTTATTACACTTATTCATCACGTTTACAAAAAGAAAATATCGTAAAAATCCGAAGATAATCGCTCCACAAATAAATACCCCACTATACATTATAAGAGAGACCTTTCTCTCTTATAATGTAAAGGGGGGGGGGGGTCCTGTCCACAAGTATACCTGTGGTCAGTGTGTTTGCCTGACTGTATTCCCAAATGTTCTCAAGGCGTGACTAATCCTTAGAATATACCGATTCTGACCTAAGTGTGACTTGGTTACATAACAAGATTTCAATTCAACAGTAAAGCGATTAATAATCTTAAATAAATTTATTTAAAAGACGTGCTTAGACACAATGTTTAGACCCTATTTATAATTGTACCGTGGAGAGTGCAATTCTGTATTACATAATACTGCCTGTACATGTACAATTAAACACAGTTTAATAGCATCTTTATTTCGAAAAAGGGGCAGGGATTGAAAAAGTATATGAAGAATGTTTCAATAAAAGATTGTAGTTTACCCGTCCAGTAACTCAAGTGAAAAATCTCCATTAAATGAATCATTTAAAACTGGACGTCTGCCTTATCCATGGGTGCCCGGGACACCGGTCCTGCTAACTCATGTTTGAATAAACGTACATATTGTCAATGTTCACTATCAGAAAAATGGGATTAAAGCTGCAATATTTTAATCTTAGACGCAATGGAAGTTTTAATGGGTATCAAAGAAAAAACATGTAGAACTGCCAAAGGAATTCACTGTCTCGCTAAAAGCATCTACGTGTACATTATTAAATGCAACATAATATGTAGGTTCAGTGTCTCTGAGGCCATCCTCCAATGGGTACCAAAAGAAAAAAAAATCACGTCACTGAACAAAGCATATTTCCATGGTAATCCACAGAAGATATCAACTTCTTTACGAGACAATTCTGAGAATTTTTTTATCATAGCTTTACTTTGTAATTTTTTATTTAGAAGCCCTTTTCTCTACTTTTTTTGTTTATGTACGGTTCGTATACATGTACTTGCAAATTCCAGCATTTGAAAATGAAACGAAATAGGATTTTCGAGTTTGGGCACTTTGCTTTTTTTAGGTTGGTCCCCACTTTGAAAGAAAAAATTTAAAATAAACTTTAAAGAAATTATTTTTGGAACAGGAAAGCTGACGATTCACTTAGTGGTTTCTGTCATTAGAAAACCTTGAACTTAGTATGACTAAAATTTTATTAATACCAAAAACCACCAATGGCGGTACCCTGCGAAAAGCTTTGGTCTTCCTTTGAATATATGACGTGTAAAACTATTTCTAATCCGCCAGCCTAAAATCTCCCCGTTGCACTTTTTTAACTCTGTTTAAATAGACATGTTCATTTTGCTCATTTATTGACACTGTCCATAGCAACAAGCTAGCTGATGTTTTCTTTCACTCACTTTAAGACTTCCAAGTGATTTAAATTTTTATGCGCCCGGATCGATAGATCCGAGGCGTATATTGTTTTTGTCCTGTCTGTCTGTCTGTCTGTCCGTCTGTCTGTCTGTCTTCTGTCTGCTTGTTTGTCCCCAAACTTTAACCTTCGCCATAACTTTTGAACCATGAAAGATAGAGACTTAATATTTGATATGCATACTCCACTAATTAAGCTCTTTCAAATGACACCAAGGTCAATGACCTTGTGACCTTGACTGTGGCCTATATGCTAAAAATAGCTTTTTTCGAACTCTGTTGCTGCCGGGCGCATAGTGTTTCACAAACACATCTTGTTAATTCTGTTAAAGAAGATGGGGGGATAAGACGTAATGAGAAGTTAATCTAAATACTCAATTCACATATTGAATATGATTTCTTAATATCTGACTCTATAGGCATTCTGCCCACCTTGTCCCCCCATCTTCTTTATTCAAAAATTTCAATTCTTTAATCGGTTACATGAACAATTAACAAACGAGACTGCAAAAATAGTCATTCTGGTTTGTACTGCATTAAAAAGCCTTTTCTTTCATAGTATATATCCTTTTTAATGCAGTACCAATCAGCATGACTTTTTTTGCAGTCTTGTTCGTTATGAATATATGTGTTAGACGTAATTACAGTGCAAAAAGGTCATATCAATTTCACCGTAGTGCATAAAGAAGCGCACTGACCTCCATTTTTTGTTTTAATATTTTATAAAGCTATGTGTGTAAATTCTAAACTAAAATTTTGACAACAGGAACCAACCCCCTTAGACATTTTTTCACTGCCTGTATTTAGTTACACAGATGTACTTTGAAATAAGAGATACAGATATACTGAAAAATTGTCAAATGGAAATGTTTTCTTTGCAAGAAACTGAGTAAAAAATGATCGCGATGTCCGTCCGTCTGTAACGCTTTTGGGTACCCATCTCTTATCCGCAACTCCTCATACACCACTGAATGAAATTTAATGAGACTTTCACAGAATCTTTGTATAGCTGTGACCTCCTATTTACTTTTTTATCGAACACATATTTCGGGTTTCCTAAAGCAATGCATGAACAATGCCACTCATTCTATAATATTGAAGAGTACCCATCTCTTATCCGCAACTCTTCTTATACCATTGAATGAAATTTAATGATACTTTCACAGATTCTTTAAAACATGATGCCATTGTGCCTCTCCTATTTTACTTTTTGATCTGACACTGATTTTGGGTCTACAGAACAAAACATGGACTTTGCTATTATACTAGTAACCATTATAATCATATGGGAGGCGGGGGTATCATTTAGTGAGCTCTGAGCTCACAGTACCTCTAGTATTGATATGGGAGGAGGGGTATGTTGCAAACACTATTGAAATAACGACCACTATTGAAATAATTATATCAATAGTGGTAGAGAGTGCATTTCAAAAGCAAACATAGGTAGTAACCATTATTGAAATACGACCACTATTGAAATAATTATATCAATAGTGGTTGAGAGTGCATTTCAATAACATACATAGTTGGTAACCACTATTGAAATACGACCACTATTGAAATAATTATATCAATAGTGGGTGAGAGTGCATTTCTATATAATAACCATAGGTTTCAACCACTATTGAAATACGAGCACTACTGGAATAATTATTTAATAGTGGGTGAGAGTGCATTTCAATATGGTAACCATAGGTTTCAACCACTATTGAAATACTACCAGTATTAAAGGAAAAGTTTCACAGCGTCAGCAACATTTGAAATCATTATTTCAATATATATCGGATTCATTGTTCAAAGCACTATTGAAATCAATAATTTTATCATTTTGAAATCTTTATTGCAAAAATGAACATTATTTCAATAGTTGTTGCAACCTATGTTTGTTATTGAAAAGAATTGCATCCACTATTGAAATAATTATCCACTATTGAAATAATTATTTCAATAGTAGTCGTATTTCAATAGTGTTACTTTCTACGTTTGTTATTGAAATGCACTCTCAACCACTATTGATATAATCATTTAAATAGTGGTCGTATTTCAATAGTGGTTATTACCTATGTTTGTCATTGAAATGCACTCTCAACCACTATTGATATAAATATTTCAATAGGGGTTGTATTTCAATAGTGGTTACTAACTAAGTTTGCTATTGAAATGCATTCTTAACCACTATTGATATAATTATTTCAATAGTGTTCGTTATTTCAATAGTGTTTCCTTTAAAGGAATGTCAACGATGGTGGTTTATCTCTTCCAATTTCATAAAACCCCCAGATGAACTCGGAAGTAAAAAATCCAGAGGAAAGCACGAGATTCTGCAATAGTTGCCTCTAGCTCCAAGACGTTACAAAGGTCTAGAAATCCGGTGTTCATACAAATAGTTTGCTCTGAAGGGGCTTAAAGAACATTCTGAATGGCTAAAGATTACTGAAGATATGGACCTGGACATACATAACTGAGAGAACAAATGACTTCAATTTAAAGTACATGTACATATTTGGAGGACTTCTTGTAATGTACTTCGCGTTGTTGTTGTTTCGCCATTCAAGATCAGCTTTTAGAATACATTGTTCGTACATGATATTTTTTATTTAATGTTAATTATCAAGTGGTCATGTTAATTATCAAGTGGCCATGACACATGCAATGAGTTTTTTGCAATTTAATCTATTTCTTCCTACAGTCTGTTCATTTGAACCTTGTTCAATTCAGAAACCATCATAGCTATAGAAAACACGTGATTTATTCAAACGTACAAAATAAAAATTTGCTTTCTGTAGTTTACTGAGCTTTAAAACTTCTTTTCATCAAAGAGATTTTAGAATTTCTTGAAGGAATAATCCTTATATGTCTGAAATGCCTGATGGCAATGCTCTTTAGAAATAAGTTATAACTATTCCTTAGTCCAAAATAGCTTTCTTTCCTTTACTTAACTGCAGGGAAATTTAATTTTAATATTCTACATACATGACAAGATTCATAAGTTCTAAGACTTCTAAAGGACAGCTCTAATCTCTTAGTGACGGTGAATACGAGGGTGCAATTAAGATCATTATATTCGTAAGTAACCGAGGATCTATGGTGTTTTTCAACATTTGTGGACATGGACTTCTTGTTCGGGTTGACTGCTTTATGAACAAAAGGTCATATACCATGAAACGTACATTGTAAATCGATACACCGAATGGTCCCAGGTTTATATTTAATTTTTTATTTTAGAATGTACTATTGCACGAGAAGCGTATTTTGATAATTACTTTAAAAAGGTAGCTTGCCTAAATTTTGATATCTAAAGAAAATCATCAAACAACATTAAAATGAGCAACATTGAACAATTCTATTAGGCAGATAGGTTCTAGAAAAAAACTTACCTTGGCTTCTTTCTCCTATGATAAATCAAGAATCACACGGCCATTGTATTAAGAAAGAATAAGTCAACACCTATAACACTAATATGACTTCAGAAGAATTATTTCCAATTTGATTTTACGATTAGAATTCCCAATCTTGTCCAGTAGGGAAGACGAGTACAGCCTTTTATAGCCTTTATTGCCAGTAGTAAAGGCTGACAACAACATAAAAACGGACTCGACAAGCTGTAACCCCGACACGGTCATGCCTGGGTGGACAGATTTAGAAGTATAGATTTAACTAATGTATTTAAATCGACTGCGTTCTGAAAGATTCTGTTTGAGAAGTTAAAACTTACATTTAAAAAATAAATCTATAACTGTGTCCTTAGGTGGTTTGTTTAGTTACAGCAAACAGCAAAAGAAAGGCCAATTTTGGCATTTAGATAAATGGCTGTACACTATTAACATTAATTTTTGTTTTCAAGTTTTATATATTTCTTCATTTTAATCAAAAATTGTGCAAAGCACATTTTTTAAGTAAAACAAAAGTTGATGAAATTTCCGTCAGTTTATTTAGGCATAAAAACACATATTCAAAATCAAGATATTTAACCACGGTAAGTTACAATTAATACCAAGTGCTGAATGCATTAGAGCTAACAATAATTCAGATGCCCAATACTATTCTTATAGTTTTATATGGAGTATATACTCTATAAGTATATACTCTATAAAAGAAACACTGAGGTTATAAGTTTATAACCAAGAAATAGCATTCTTTGTGAATCTGCTGTGATGATCTTCAATCAGAGAAGCTTGAATAATTTAACAAGATCTCCATAACCTATAGGTCCTTCTCGGAACACCTCCTCACCTTTATTTCTCTAGAATTCAGCTTATTCTTGCGAATGTCTCATTCCACTCACCGAGTATCTGATTTTAAAAGTATATTTTAGGCCTCTAACAGAAAGGGCGTAGTCATCATCAAATTTACTGTGAGAAAGAAGATTAAAGTAATGTTAATTTTTTTTAATGTTTTTAATGTTCGATGCTATAAAATAATATTTCTACGCATACAAGCTTCTTTTAACTTGATTAAAAGCCGTTTTGTTTGAATTTGATGAATGACAATCCATTTAAAAGATACTGCATGTGCTACATGTAGCTAGTGCATCTCTCTGCCAAACAAATTCTTCATATGACGTCCCATATCCTACATGGCTAATATAGGCATATATAGATCACATAAGATTCAAAAGGCAGGTTTGCATCGTTACTGCATCCTCTAAAATATAGCTAAAATATTGCCGACTCGGTGTTAAGCAATAATCGACCATAATCATTGCCGAGTTTTTGCAGTTATAAGTAGTACATTAACGAGTACTCGTTAAAACATTATATATGTTTTGTAAAATAACACGCAGTCGGCAAAAGCACAAAGATTTCTCTGCAATATTGAATGTATAACCTCCAGGTTTTTGGTTAAATCGGTACATGTAAGCGTATAATTATGTCTGAGATGTACTAGGTCTCAATGTTCCCAATCTTTCTACTTTTGTCTGATGAAATATATGGAGATAACGCAATATCTTATGTACGTATTTATTAGTAATATTATTACTTTCACCCCGAGAACAGATATGGACATGTAGTATAACATTTTCTAGGGTATTTTGACATTGAAAATTGGAAAATCGATTCCCCCCCCCCCCCCTTCAAAAAAGAAAGATAAAATTAGTAATTTGTCAAATCACTCGTAAGAAATTAAAGTGTTTCAAACCAGAAAGCGATTTAAATTGTTTTAGAATGCAGCAGAAATCTTTAAAGGATCGACTTGACAATGGTAGGAAGATCGAACGATGACGTCACCAAAACTATTTTATTCTTGACACTTCAATTTAAGATTAACATTGGCGTCACTAGTACTCTAGTAGTCAATACTCAGCCAGAATTAATGTGAATTACCACATCTGAATTGGATTCCGAAACTTCACAAAAATCTTTACAAACAAAGATACATGTACATGGCAGGTTACAGTAAATGTTCAACCAAGTCTCTTTCTCTACTCCTCTCTAAGATATTAACAGTAGTGAAGGAGAAACTTCGAGAGTACTGTGCAACAATATATTCAAGAAGTGATGTAAATCTGGTGTGAATACTTAAAATTCCAAGAAACTTTTGGACAATTTGAAAATTACAAAATTTTATCAAATTAACAGAATAAAAATTTAAAGACTTTTCAACTTTATATACTACCATTCCCCAAGATAAATTAAAGTCCAGGTTTTTTTTTTTTAATATTATTGACAGCTGTTTTTTTAATAAAAATGGAACTCGCAAATTTGCTTGCCTTTTCTTCGGTCATTTGCAAAATTATTTTGTTAAAAAACATTCTGTACACACAAGTACTCTGAGGTTGATATTGAAAAGATGCTTGCGTTTGTGATTGACAATATCTATATGGTTTTTTGGAAACCAGGTCTTCCAACAGTCTGTTGGAATTCCCATGGGTACCAATTGCGCCCGTTGCTAAACACTTGCTGATACCTCCATTTCACTCGACATATCCACGACGTCTTGTCAGTCAACAATGGTATATATCCAGGTGAGCTTGAAATAAAAGATACCACAGAGTTTGACACATCTGTTTCAAAAGATATTCTACTTGAAAAAGACGTTTATGACAATCTAACAATCAAGCTTTATGATAAACGTGATGATTCAATCGTCAGCTTCCCTGACTTATGCAGCAATTTACCTTCATCACCTGCAAACGAGGTTTATCTCTCAGTTGATTCGATACGCAAGGGCATACTCTGCGTATGAACAATTTCTAAAACGAGGTAAATTTTTGACAAACAAGTTGATGAAACATGAATATCAACAGTCTCGTTTAAAGTCACCATTTCCTTAGTTCTACGGTCGATAAAATGACATTAGCAGCAGATACAATTTATTATAAAGTCAAATGCTGACTGACGTTTGTCATTCTAATTGTTAAGCTATTTGTACATTTTTATTGTCAACGGATTTTTAAATTTTTTGTGTTTTTCATCTTTGTGAAGAATGACCAATGACGTCATTTGTACCGTATGTTACTCTTGACACAAGTGAAGATGAATAAATTAAGATGTTACTAGTGCTCTTGGGGACAAAATGGGGAATCAAAGTTTAACATAGGAATACATAAAAAAAATTTGAATAAAGTCAAAGAAATTTTTGGCGGTGAAAATCTTGTTTTCTTCTAGAGCAATATACTTTTTAAATGATTCAGTAATTATCAGCCATGTTATAAAAGTAGTCTTTCTCTTTACAAACATTATATTTATAATTGCTTATTTATGAATCATGAAACATCTGAGAAGTAAATGTGTACTATTATTTACTTTTTACTGGGTTGTAATTAGTTGACGTAATATTTTAAACATTATTCAACGTGAATAAAGAGGCACATCTTTGTTCAGTCTTCTTCGTCAGTTTGATGACGACTTCCTTTAATTAATCATAGATTTGAAAAACTACTTTCATATTTTAATCAGGGGACCTTTAAATGTAGTCATAATGCATATATTTTTAAACTTTTATATCTGCAGAATTTTATGTATAGGAAAATCTATACAATGATGCTAATAATTGATTTTGAAGGAGGCTGAAATAATGTTTGAATAACCGATTTTTACCTCATAGGTAGTCTATCCCCTTCATCATTGTTTTCTTTTTGAAAAAAAAATATGTTGCAAAATAATGCCATTAACATATGAATCTCATGTATTTCATATTGATTTCTGTGTGGACGTTACAGTGATATAGATACATGTATTTGTTTTCCTCTAACTCTCAGCTTATACTTGGCAGGTTTTCTCAGTTTTATTCATGTATATATATATATATATATATATATATATATATATATATATATATATATATATATATATATATATATATATATATATATATATATATATATATATATATATATATATATATATATATATATATATTCCTTTCAACAAAAAATGCTTTTATCGTGTGCATACCGGGTACATTAAAACTTTTTTTTTTCGAAATCCATGATTAAATTGTCAATGAAATTGCCATAGAATCAAACAGAAATTTCTATTCAGACGAACATTAAAACAAAAGATGTATGGTTCTTCAGAATACTACTTATATCAATTTCAAAGCTGATAAACAGCAATTTCAAAAATCTATTTAAAATTCAGAAAGCGTCTATTAAATTTTCGACTTAGACTTTCGTGTATATATACTATATTGTACTTTGTTCTTTATTATACCGTAAGTCTACTCTGATTTCAACAAAGAAAAAAGAATGAACTGCCTTTTTAAAAAAAATAAAAACCTGTCAAAACCTAGCAAGATTTTTGAATATTTCTTAGCGCCGACTTTAATTTCTTTGTCAAGGTGCAATGTGTGAAATGTTTGTTAACCAAAACACAACTGTATCCCTTTGCTTCTGTAAGTCGTACACAAGTACACTATCAGTTGTAATTAAATAACAATGAAGAATACACACAAACACACACTTCCTATCTCCAGGACACAGAAAATGTACAGAGAGCTATTGATAAGAAAATATGTACATAAAAAACAAGCCAATTCATCGAATTTTTACCCCCCCCCCACTTAAAACAGAAAAAGCCTATGAGATGGAAAAAGAAATATAAGTATCTGGAGATAACGAACAGTATTCAAGCTCGAAAGTCCATTCAAACAAAACAGGAGCAGAGCAGACACGGACCTCTTAAACATAAGAGTTGGGATCAGGTGCCATGGAGGAGTGAGTATCCCCTGCAGACCAGTCACACCCGCTGTATGTTCTATGTCATGGTCTGGAAATAACAGAAAAAATTGTCGATAGTTCAGTGTGTGAAAAAATGGTTTAACAAGAAGGATGACAATCCGGATATAAAGAAATGAATTTTATGTATAGATTCAGTCTTGCAGTTCGACCATAAAACTTACGAAATGATGACTTTAAAAGAATCGTTCAGAAGTAGAACTTACTCTTACGTATCAATTCAACTGCATAAGAGATTTAAATCTCGTATGCGGATGATAAGAGTATATTGCTGCAGAAGTAAGGAAAGTTGACGATTGAAAAGTTAAAGTTATTACTTTCATAATAAAGTTTTTGGTTAGGTTACCATTAGTAAAATATCCAATTACGATGTGTCAGACTGTGGTATCTTTCATTTTAAGCTCACTGGGATATATCTTGTCGACATATGAATCGAAATAACTATATGTGTAAATATGTCGTCAATATATATACATGTCGAGTTAAAGCGACAACAAGCATTTTCTTTTTTTCATGTATAAAAATTTGAATAAATTCTGTCTCAAATAAATTTAAAAATAAGTCTGCTGATAGCTTTGGTACCCACTGGAATCTTAATAGATTGTTGGAAGACCTGGTCTCCAAAAATAACATAGATAATGTCAATGAGAAGCTCAATCTTGTTTCATCAACTTTATTATACTTGTGTGTACAATCAGAATGCTTTTATGGCCCAGGATTGAAAGATCCTGGGGGTGTACTGTTTTGTCCTGACTGTTTGTCCTCTCTGTCTGTTTGGTAAGGGTATACTGATGTCAATTTTTATCACCTAGCCCACATCTTGTTTATAACAATTTTTGCAAATGGGCGATAAAAAACGACCCTGACCATATAGCTTGTGACGTTTAAGTCAAAACTGATCTTTTTTTTTCAAGTCAAATAAATTCATGACCTTAAGTTTCATAGAAAAAGCGTTTAAAAAACCGAAGTTTCTGAAATCTATTTGTGCAATGTTTTAACCTCTTGAAATCAAAAGAAAAATTAAATTGCAAAATTTCCCAGAGAACTTAGATATTGCCAGGAATTAAGCCATGTAGGGTGTGAGATAATTCAAGACCTCTAGAAAGACGCATTTTTCTGGTTTACTCTAGTGACCGACTAATTTTGCACTACTGCCATAAATTGTTTCATCATTTTTTACCTATAAAACAATGGAATACAAAGATCTTTTTAAACATTTACCCAATCTTACCGAGTTGACTTTTAAATTTTCCTTTTTTACAAAATAAATTTTGAATTAATCGATTAAGAACAATCTAATAAAGAGAATAAGTCTTGGAAATGAACAAATGACGTAAATCTGCCAATTCTAAGTTAAAGAAAATCGAAAATCGAATAGCTTTGAGTAAAACAAATATTTACTTGTATTATAAGCTTGTTTTGAACACATTTCTCTAATGAAATCATTACTTTAAGTAGATACCATCCCTTAAAATGATAATTGTTGACTAGTTGTGTTTTAATTGATTTTTTGTGGCATTCAGAAGCAGTTTAATTATTTTTATAATGTTTATTTACAAGTCACATTAGTTGTAGCTGATTACGTCCCTTTCACTTCCTCATACAACCGACTCCCCGCCGTGTCCCTGTTTGGACCATTCAGATCATCATACTGTCTACAGCCGGTGTCCAAACCTCTTATCTGAGTGTAATACTCATCTGTTTCAATGATAAATGTAACTTGTTATTTACAAATTATTTTTGAGAAGTATTTCTATGTTTTTTTTGAAATGAAAGATATTTCAGTTAGCTTTTTACCTATAATTACGTGCCTAAAGTGAGCAAAAAGTCGTAGTGTTTGAATTTGATTATCTGAATTCAAATATTTTATTTCCATGAAATGGATATGTGTTCCTCATGCTCTTACCTTTTTTATCAACCACTGATCTTATAGTATCATCTTTGCCTCTGCTTTTTCTATTCAACAAAAATAAACAAAAAAATTATTTTTCGCGAAAAAGGACAAAGAAATATATAATGTTATTTACAGGTCACAGATTTTTATTAAACAGGGCATTTTTTGTGCAAGCAAAGTTCATACACTGTAACCTGAACAATAGAATGTTCGCAGTGTGTGATACTATGGTGGTGATGATGATAATAATCTAAAGTCAAATGAGAACGTAAATAAATTATTCACAGTTTAACAACCCTATTGTTTAGATATAGTGTCATTTTACAGTATAGCATCTAAATAGCTTACGTGTACTCTATATCAAAATTTTTGTATCATATCTAGATTACAGAGCAAATGAATCTGACCCTTTGCAAGGTTTATCTTTGGAGTAGAGTCGGTATACAATGGCGATAGACACAATGAACATGAGGACCAGCATTATAATAGGTACCGCCATAGAAGACACCCTCATTGCCTCCGAAACAGCCGGCTTCAAAATGGATGACACCTGTTCTGAATACCACAAAAACGATCCATTATAAATATGTGTGTATGTATCAGTGACATTTGTAATTTTTGTGACTTTTCTAAAATTAATTTGATAAACGTTATAAATACCTTCTCATTCAATAAAATAATTTTTTAGTTTTGTTTTTTTAATCCATATATAATGATTTTGAAAGCAAGCTGTTTAGTACGTTTATAAAGAGATATGACAAAAAGTATCTTGCAAGATAACTGGGCTAAACTTTTTTCATTTACATCCAATCAGCATTAACAATACAACCAACTAAATTTTTGTGTTAAACAATAATCAGTGAAGACTCCCAAAAAGGTGGAGAGTGGGAAGGTCTGATTTTATGAGGTCATTATTTAGCACTGGTTTGTCAATGGATTCTCCGTTTACCCTATCATATCAAGAAGCACACGGCGGACGTGACCGGTTGACAGAGAATGCTCATTATTTCGTGGCACCTGATCCCACCTGTTGTAGGAATCTTTTCTCTGCTCCTGATTGATATTTTTCCAATGTACATTTTTAGCCTGATTACTGTTAATAATTATTATACAAACGTATTAATTCTTACTCAATATACACGTGTCTCCCTCTCTTTGGTAACCTTGGCAACACTTTGTGGAATTGACTGTCACATTTCTTTGTACTCTTTTCTCTTCAAACATTTCATAGTACCTTTAAGTTAATGAACGGCATGTTAAAAAAATTCGATTCGCCCTTAACATTCTGCATTGCAAACTTTTGCCATTGGTATATGGCATCACAGATTATTTATGATTTCTGATGTTAAAGTGAGTCTTTGACTTATTTGAGCATGGTAAAAAAAATCTGACTAGAGGAGTAACACAAGTTTACAGAGCAATTAAATTCTGTCCAGTAAAGAAGCATTTTTCCATAAAGCAATTATTTCTTTGCCTACAAAATGGCTTTTTAAACTTGTTAAAAAAGAGCAAAAAAATCAACACACTTACTCAACATTGATTTTGTAACGCCTTCCCATTTTTACTGCTTTTGTTCTAGTCTTTAAAACTGGTACGGTCTCGAAAAAAGTTTCTTCCTTTCTGAAAAAACATACAAAGGGAAATGAACCCATCATCAATTAAAATCAAATCACCTTAAAATTTTAGAATTCAGGTTTAAAGTTCTGAAAATATAATTTTGCCTTGCAAATAGTAATATTCAAAACAAAAGTGAATCAAAAATTTATATCAGTACGATACGTACTTTTTTTTATATGCATAAACAGAAACAAAGTGCAAAATTCAAATTAGACAGAATATTTGTTTTCATTTCGATTTGAGAAAAATCGATGAAATTTCAATAAATTTTACAAAAAAGATAAAAGTAATTAATAAACATACTAGTATTTAAAACTACAGTCTGAGCATCTTGATCAATTATGTCAGAAAAATGTTCTATAAAATAAATATTATCTATCGAATTTCAGTTTAAATCTAAAAAAAAAAATTCAAGTAAATCCTAAATAAGTATATCGACATTTCTGATTCTCATTTTATGTTTTCTTATTTAATAAGTACCAATTAAACATACGTTTGTAATTCGAAACATTCCTTTCCAGAGACAACCAAAACAGGTCCTAGCAAAACAAAACAAAACTGTATGTATGGCTGCATCTTGGTAATCACCAGAAAAACACAGAGGTCGTCATTCTAAGAGACAACTTCCGCTGACACACCGGAAGACGTGGTAAACTTTTGCTGAAGTAATCATCTTAATACCGGTATACTCAGAGTTACAAACAGATAAAACGAAAACGTATTCTCTAAGCAACATCAAATAACAGTAGTTTTTTTAAGATGATATATTTTTGCCCCTTACCTGGCTGGTCACCATGTCAGAAAGATACTTAAGTGTTAACGTATGAAAGCTAAAGATTATCTTTTGCAAAACAATATGATGACATGCAATAGTGACGTCACCACTAAGTGAAAAATTCTCGAATGGGACGTAAAACAACATAAAATCAATCAATCAATCAATCAATCAATCTTATTGCTGATATGCAAGTTATAACTTAAAGTCATCATGCAACATAAACAAAACTCATATATATCAACATTCCGAATAAGCAGAAATTTTAACGAGGATTTAATTTTGGCCTTTTTGCAATGATGTTGAGAAATTAAAATTAAATATCGCTAGCAATTCATTCCTGTTTCTGAGGTTACGGTTATCTTTCAGGACAGTCGCTATAATTAATTACAGATTTTGGTCAGCGTTGCTAAAATCGCGTCTCGCTTAATATTCTACTTATACGGAATTTTTTGCATGTCCACACCTAATAAATATGCATGTGCACATACTGAAATCATGTTGATTACGTTAACATTATGTTAAAATTATGTCGACAGGGAGACTGCATAATTATCTCAAATGATTACATGAATTGGTTTTTTTATCGACATAAATATCTCGAAAATTAATTAAGATGTGAGCATATCAGAGACAAGCATAAATATTGGGTTAACAACAGTATTCTATTTCTGAAGTCCATTCAAACATGCAAATCAGGAGCAGAGGAAACACGGACCTCTAAAATATCAGAGTTGGATCAGGTGCTATGGAGGAGTGAGCATCCCCTACCGAGCGGTCACAGCCAAAAAAAGGAAAAAAATCAGTTGAAGTTTCAGTGTAACAATTAGTATGAAAAACTTAACTCAGCATCTTACTTCATGATAAATTGATATTGCTGACAATATCATTATATCGACCATAGAACTTACGTAATGATGACATTAAACGAGGCTGTTGATATTTTTGTTTCATCAATTTGTTTTTCAGAAACTTGCCCCGTTTTAAGAATTGTTTGTACATAGGGGGTGCTTTTACATTTCGGATCAACTTGGAAACATAATCCCCATATCCAAGTGAAAATATTGTATTGCTTAATAAGTATGGAAAGTTCACGAATAAAAAGTTAAAGTCATCGCATTTATCATAAAGCTTGGTTGTTAAGTCCTTTTTTTTTTTAGCAAAATATCTAAAAAGACCTTGTGGCATTTTTTTTTTCTCAAGCTCACCAGGATATATCAAGTCAGCATATGAATGGAAGTAATTATTGTAAACTGATAATACGTCGTCCATATTTCTTTGTGTCGATTGAAGGCCACAGCAAGTGTTTCCTTCTCATATATAGATTTTTTAAAATAAAAATAGATCTGCTAATGACGGGACGGGACACGATTGGTACCAATGAGAATTTCGACAGATTATTGGCACACCTGAACCAGATTAAGTCAATAAGTTCTATCTGAATATTTTTAGTTAATCTTTTAAACGTAATGCTTTAAAAAGTAACTTTTAAGTTTATTCAAATTCCAAGAAATTATGTAAATTCTGTTTCAATATCAAATTCATTTCTAAAGTTACATTGGTTTGAAATCTTGAGTTCAGACTGTTTTCAGTTTATGGTCTTGGGACCAGATCTAGAAAACTACAATATATATATATATATAGGTACTGTCAATCAGAAACTCAAAAAGTCTTTTAATATTAACATCGGAGAACTTGTTTACTAATAAAAATAATTTTGCAAATGACAAGTGACAAGGCAAGTTAATTAACATTAACGAGTTCTATTTTTGTTTTTAAAAATTATTAAAGATGTCAAGCCTTGACTTTCCTTTATATTTGTATAAAGTGTTGGAAAGTCGTAAGTTTTTTTTTTATTTTGATAAAATTTTGGGATTAAAATTACTCATTTTCTAATTTTTGAGTGTCCACATCTGATTTAAACCACTTCTCAAATTTCTTGTTGTATAAATCTCCTGTAAGTTAGATTACCCATTTGAAAATAGATTCAATAATATATTATTCCTACAATTTGAAAATATTGAAACGATATTTTAAAAGTTTAACGTTTACTTCAGCTGCACATCTGAAACTTCCGGGTCTGAAAAATTCAGATATACGATCATCGCATTTTTCCAAAGACAGCGAGCCACAAAACTGTAGCTATGTTTACTCATATTCACATCTAGCGAGGAAAAGGTGGGTCGTTATTTGGAAACTTAAACAATCTAGGGAGGAAAGGGTGGGTCGTGTTTTGGAAATTTAAACAATTGTTTTCTTTCTACAGCAAAAATAAAACGGGAAAACCACAAAGACACAAACAAGACATTTAATGGTACGAAACATAAGACGTTCAAAAAATATCTTATGAAACATTGTAGAGGAAGAAGGAACATTAATTTTTTCATATAGGCCCTATATTCCTATGTAAAAATGTGATCATCCATGACCATGAGGTCACGATTTGAACAAAATTGAATCTCTCCACTACATGAAGACACTTCCACATAAGTTTCAGCTTTCCTGACACAATGGTTCTCAATTAGAAGATTTTTAAAACATATGCCACTAAATTTTCACTATTTCTTAACTAGAAAACTGACCAGTCAGCAAGGGCCCCACCATGGGGTAGAATTACTGTAAACCAACTTTTATTCGTGTGCGAGAAATTACGTAAGTTCTATGGTCGATAAAATGACCTTGTCAGCAAAAACAATCTATCAAAAAGTAAAATGCTGAGTGGCGTTTTTCATACTAATTTTTACAATGAATCTTCAACTGATTTTTTTCCCGTTTTTCCCGATCATGAGTACATACTTAGTTACATGTTGATTTGGAAAACCCGAGTATACCCGATAGACCGGACGTATTTCATAGCGGTCCGGATTCTTTCTTTAATAGTGTTTTTAAAAATTTCCAAATCAACATGTAACTAAGTATGTAAATATATAGTGTTTAGTAGTTTAGTAGTAGTGCTAGTTGTTTTTTGTTTCTCTTTTTCCTTTGTTCTTATGACTTTTTAACTTTTTTCTTTGTCCTGAGGAAGGGACAGGGCGTCCCGAAAATTTGACAAGTTTTATTGTTCATGTCGTTGTCCATTTTTAGTGCTTTATATAAATTTCCATCCGTGACCTTTTATCTACGTGGTAGTATAATATCAAATTCATTTCTAAAGTTATATTGGTTTGAAGTTTTGAGTTCAGACTGTTTTCAGTTTATGGTCTTGGGACCAGATCTAGAAAACTACATAATATATATACATATTGTCAATCAGAAACTCAAAAAATCTTTTAATATCAACATCAGAGAACTTGTTTACTAATAAAAATAATTTTGCAAATGACAAGTGACAAGCCTTAACTGTATACATGTATTTGTAAGGGGTTGTATAACGTGTTGGAAAGCCTAAGTTGTTTTTATTTTGATAAAATTCTGGGATTAAAAATACTCATTTTCTAATTTTTGAGTGTCCACATCTGATTAAAACCACTTCTCAAATTTCTTGTTGTACAAATCTCCTGTAAGTTAGATTACCCATTTGAAAATAGATTCAATAAAATAATAATCCTACAGTTTGAAAATATTGAAACGATTTTTTGAAAATTTAACGTTTACTTCAGCTGCAGATTTGAAGCTTCCTGGTCTGAAAAAATATCGCATTTTCCCCAAAGACAGCGAGCCACAACACTATATCTCCTCATATTGCAGATCTAGGGAGGAAAAGGTGGGTCGTGTTTGGAAACGTAAACAATGGTTTTCTTTCTACAGCAAAAACAAAACGGGAAAACCACAAAGACACAAACAAAAAAATTTATGGCACGAAACATAAGACGTTCAAAAGTATCTTATGAAACATTGTAGAGGAAGAAGGAACATTAATTTTTTTTATTTCTTTGTCGCGCATGATTCAGTCCATTGAAACTTTACCGAGACATTGTAATGGAATACCATCAAAAGCACAAGACCAGGAAACATAAATGGCCCATCTCGTTTTATATCGGTGAATTTCTTTATCACTTGTATTTCATCTCGGTATGATTATTATATAAGTGACATTTCGTTTCAAATGTTGTGCATTTTTCTGGTAAATCGGGCAAAAATATATAGTTTTTTGTCTATATCGTCCATTGTATCTTCTTTTCTTCTTTATCTACAATTTTAACCATTCTGATTAAATATAATATTATTTGTAAAATAAAAAAAAATAGGATGTGTTTTGGCCCTATGACTAATTTAACGAGGGAAATTGGTAAAGAGATAAAAAAGTATACACTTTTATTTTCCAGATCAAACTTAATAATGGATAAATATAAGATCACACTTGATATTAACGTTACTTTCCTCGTGATTTTTTTAACTATATTAAACGGGATTTTGTCAAGGGCATAGAGAATGTAAAAGGGGAAAACCCCTTTTTAATGTTTATTATAAGGAAACAATAGAATCTCATACCTGGCACTGAAGCTATCTCCAATGAAAACCTTAGAGGCAACTGAATAAACGTCATTTAACAAAGTCCATATCATAGGGATAGATAATTTAAATATATTCTTCGTTTACAATTTTGAAATCTTCCAATTTTTCTATAAGCTTTGTCATGCCTAAATGACCATGATACTTCATGTTTTCATATTCTATGCAAATATTTTTTTTTCTCAAATATCAAAGTCTAATACTTTTTCAGAAGAAGAGACATAGTTCAAGGAAGATTATCATAATTCCAGTCTTTCTAATTTTGCTCTCTAAAATAGCCTTGGATAAGGTCTAAGAAATGTCAGTGTCAGGGTATAAACTATGTACAGAATCTGAGCCACCAATATTTCGACAACATAAGCAAGTACTTTTACTCCAAACAATGTCTATCGATAGATAACAAAAACAGGAATGTGATTG